ATGCTTGCCCGTCTGTGGAGATATAATATTGACCTCAGGATTTATCATAAGGATTAGATTCTGTAAGTGCTGAATATCTCATAGCACCTTATTAATGTACAAGTCAATTAATGGTAAAAAAATAACATGATGGCATTGATGCTATGGTAAAAATCAATTTGGAGGAAAAGGAGTAAAATTATAGCTCTGGTTGCCAATAAAATTCCTATTTTACTCACTTATTAACTCATTTGTACATTGTTTTCCTGTCCAAATGGTGGTTTCAGGTCTCAACTTCAATTAATATCTCATTTTATTAACGTTTTTCCTCTTCCTTCAGCATCAGTTTTATCATACTCTATCCTTTTTAAAAACATTTATTTATTTATTTATTTATTTATTTGAAAGGCAGAGTGACAGAGAAAAAGAAAGAGAGTCAGACAGACAGAGAGATCAATATTCCATCTGCTGGTTCACTCCCTAAATGGCTAGAACCCCAAGGGCTGTGCCAGGCTGAAACCAGGAGCCAGGAACTCCATCCAGGTCTCCCACATATGTGCCAGAAACTTAAGAATTTGGGTCATCATCCAAGGCCTTCAAGGCACATTATCAGGAATTTGAATCGGAAGCACAGAGTAGCCAAGACTCGAACCAGGAACTCTTGAAATGGGATGTGGGTGTCCCAAGCTGCTGCTTAACAAGCTGTGCCACAATGTCCTTCCCCCCCACACACTGTCATCTTAGAAATGCTGCCAAGAACTTCATTCTAAATCATCATTATGGTCTGCTCTTTAGCTTTAGGTCTCTAACTCCTTGGTTTTTATCCTATACTACTTCAAACCAGCTCTCAGTTCTGGTCAGTCCAGAGTTCTCCCCAATCTTCAGGATATAGAATTAATTGTCAGCTCTTGATGTTTCATAAGACATGCTCCTTGTATCCAAGGGCCTCAGTGAATAGATGAAGAGACAGAAGGAGATGGTTATCTTTATGAACACAGGTTTATGGGAGAACAGATGAAGGAGTGATTAATTCAGCCAGGCTTGGGGCGGTGACGAGAAGTGACGAGAAAGACGCCAAGAGGAAGTAACACTTGAGTGAGTCCTTCATAGAATGAGCGCAATTTCATTTTGGGCAGCGAGAACAGCATGACCAAAACCTGAAAGTGAACAGTCCTCCTGTGAGGCACACAACAGATGGCAGGAGGGATGGTGAGGGTGGAGAGACACCTGATGAAGCTGGCAGGAGCCAGGCTGCGAAGTGCTTTGCTGTTCCACGAGAAGCAGAAAAGCGGAGCCTTCCTCTCCCCGAGTTCCTGGAGCGTTTGTTCTTTGTGCTCTCATTTTGGCAATAATTTTTTATGTATAAACTTAAAAAAATCTAGAACCAAAGGAAAAAAACACCCTCTGAGTTCTTTCCTTTTCAGCTTTCTTTTGGAGTGTATAGCATGAGATTGGAGACAATAAGACACAGAGATTTAAAATGCTATAGAATTCGAGTTTCCTCTCTGCTATTTCCACTGACCCCTCTTCTAACTGGACTTAGGCCAGTCATGGCACCTCTAAATGTCACTTTCTTCCTCTGGAAATGGGGAGAGTAACAATTTCTGTACAATAAGGCTCCTTTGATAATTCAAGTGCTTAAGCAAGTCTTTGCTACTCAATTATTCAGTGAGCATTAATTGACAAATTAATTAATCTAGCACAGAACCTGTGCTAGATTTCTATTATACAATGACAAGTAGTTAGTAACTTTGTAGTGCCATAACTATCTGTATTATCATTTTTAAAAGATCGATTTATTTATTAGAAATGCAGAGTGACAGGGAGAGACAAGAGAGAGCTCTTCCATATACTGGTTCTATCCCCAAATACCTGCATCAGCCACGGCTGGGCTAGGCCTAAGTCAGGAGCCAGGAACTCCATCTGGATATGACACATGGATGGCTGGAGCCCAAACACTTGGGCCATAATCCACTGCCTTCCCAGGTTCATTAGCAGGAAACTGAACTGCTGGGTCTTGAACTGGCACTGCTTATGGGATGTCCATGTTTAATCCATCATGCCACAATACCAGCTCCCTTATTATTATGAATATAGATTGTTAAGATATTCTATTGAGAAAACGTAGTGTGTTTTAGCCACGTTAGTACCTATTTGTGTTCGGACCAATTCTCTCCCTGGTGCTGGAATGTGCTACATGATTGGCTGACTGAGAAGTGGTGCCACACCCAATGTTCATGGAGCCCAGTCATTCACACGGTTGTACAGCCCAGGAAGAGCCATTGTTTTAACTGTGCTCAGTTGGCACAGTGACCCTGGGCGTCTCTAGATGAGAGTGACCTCAGAAGGATGACCATATATGCTCAAAACTAGTTTTGACATTGCCTAGTCAAATTTGAGATTGCTCAATTAAAAAAAAAAAAAAAACAACTTGTTATTACAAGAGCTCAGGACAGTAGAATTCCAGAATCCCAGGATTCTGTGATAGAGATATATATTTGTTTTTACTGCTGGTGAAGTGAACACACAAAAGCAAAGACTGCATAATCTTGGATAGAGGTGATAATTTCTTGCTTGAGGAAGAGGCGCATTTATTGATCTCTGAGGAGTAGTGTCACCAGCAGCAGAGAGAGGAGATTTAGGTAGATACTATGAATTGAAACCTGAAAGTCCCCCTTTAAAGGTGAGTTGGGTCTCTTGCCTCTAGTAGAAGCACTGGAGCAACTGAGCAATATGTGGCAGACCACCATGGTCATGCTAAGCCAAGTAAGATTAACTTCTCAGAATATCTCTGAGAATAAAATCTGTAACAGTTTATGGGTAAGCAAACTTTTCCTCTTGTGTATTGTATTAGTATAACTTTGCCTTTGTTTATTTGCTGCTCAGTTTAGTTTTGGCTATGTATCCTGGATGCAGATTATTTCTAGTTACCAATTATCTTCTCTTTCCTCAAGGGAAACTCAAGTTATCTGCAGGGCACCCCAACCTACAACCAGGAGTGGGGTACAAAGCTACATCCTCTTCTGTGCAAAAAAGATAGAATTCACAGTCTTTATTTTTGCACATTCTTCTTCCTGTTTCCATATTAGTTGGCCTAATAATTACTTCAGGGTCTGTTCTAAGCAGAGTTTATGGTATTTGTTTATGGAAGCTGCAGATACTGAGACTAATGCAATGATTTTCTAACATGGCATTTTTAAAGATGTTTTAAAATTTTCTCTTAAAAGAAATCTGTAAACTTGAGAATAGAAGCACATGTGGTTGATAATAGATTGCAAAATCTTGATGTTCAGAAAGAGGCAAAATTTAAAATTACGATTGTCTATGTACCCCATTGTAAACTTCTAATTATGTTTTGTGAAAGATTGCCCCAGTCTCCAGGGAAATGTGTGTGATGTTTAGATTTGGGACATAGTACAAAGGAATATGTTAATATACCCAACACCTAATATACAGCTTTGAAATTACATTGAAATAGATCTGGAAAATCTTGGGTTGTAATAAAATACATTATCTTCATTAGAAAACTAGAGGCAGTGGATAAAGGTGTCCAGGAAGGAAAACAACTTGAGAGACTTAACTGAAGTTAGACAATCAACCAGACACAAAACGACTCTGTGATTACACTGGGAGAAGCCACGTGGAGCTTTTCAAGATGACCTCTCACCTGCATCAGTCACGTGGTGAGTCAGTACTTTTTCACCTGGAGTAACCTGACTGAATAAAGTGAAGCTATGCCTGCAGCTTCTCAAAGCGTGTACAGTCACATCCCCAAATGCCACCTTATCTTTACAACTAAGTAATGTTTGTGAACCAAAGCACTCCTGATTTGCAGACCGCGACAGCAGTGAAAGAAGGCAGGGAAGCAGCAGCCCTAGTCATTCTCAGATTGTGAAAGCCAGACAAATCTTGGTGACCACGCCCCAGGTGGAATGAGGAGGGCATTATCTCAAGGACCCTCGATTGTTTGAATACCTTGTCTTTAACCTACTCCAGAAAAAATAATAAAGAACCAAATTCTAGATATTCAGGACAGACTGATTGTGGGAATTGGGTTTGGAGAGCTTTATCACATCAGGGACAGAGACAATGCTGAAGAATTGGACATGTGACTTCTTAGCTCCGGTCAGCTCCAGGCTGGCTGCCATCAGCTTTGCAGAGTCGGCATGGAGACCAGGCAGTCACACCAGCAATTACTCCAGGTTTAAAGGGAGAACTTAAACAATGCCTTACCTGTGTCTGGATCAGTCAGGGCAAGGTGGGAGGACCTGAGGAGAATTTCATCAAACAAGTCTCAGCTCAAACATTTGTAGTTTTACTCAATTACATCCAAATCTGAGTATTGAGCACCATGAAGGCAGTGATACAAAATAATCTATAGCCTCAAAAAATTTACAATACAGTGAGAAAAATAGGACATAGCAAAAAATAAGGCAAAAAAAGTGAGTTTCTTAAGAGAGATAGCAACATCAAACAATGCTGGATTCTAAAGCCACAGAGAATATACTTTATGGCTTACCTAAAGAGGTTTCATGGAAGATATCAGCTTGGAGTAATTGTGAGACATAGGAACCTAGAGAGGGAGTGGGGCATCCCGCGTAGAGAAGATAGCAGAAATATCCCTCTAACTCCAATAGCCTGAAGCAACATGGCTTTCCTGTAACAGACACAGAACTCTTCCCCCAGCAAAATGAAAGGGTCCACCATTTGTCATTTATGTCTCCTACAGAAGCCAACCTCTTGTTTTCTGCATTAAATGTAAATTTGTGATAGAAGTTAGGGCTTCACCATCTGGTCACTTCTCCGCAACTCAATGCATTATACTTTAGGTTAAAGATGGTACTTTCCCTAGGATATCTAATGATGGCCTGAGATTCAGAGCTTCTTAAACTGAACACTGGTCTTACTGACTTAAAACATCTTAATGACATTTTGAGTCACTGGGCTCGAAGTCTGTGCCCAGAGTCTGTAAAATACTCTGCCCTGCCTCGTCAGAGGAGGTTCTATGTGCTGGGAAGGAGGCAAGAGAATGTAGGACAAGTCCTACTGGCCTGGCCAGGGTCCCACCTAATTCCTTATGACGTGTCTAGTGCAGGTGACACGTTCTTTAAGGTGTGGATAGGCAGTTAATTTCATGGAGAGTAGGAGGTGTAAGTTTGGTGTAGTGTTTTTTTTTTCTTTACAGTGGGGCATTATCTGAACGATACTCATTCTCTCTTGAGTCTGGACTTCATGCAACAAGCAGCAACTGGATATTATTTTAAAATAAGCACAAGCCATCAAAAGACACTGATCTGGGTCCTTCTTTTGGAGGAACCATTGAGAAGTGCTTCTTGGTCAAGAACTAACCAAAGGAAAACTCCAGCAGGAAGAGAAGAACTGTGGGTTTCTCACCCCAGCCACCACGGAAGCTATGCCGTGAAAAGACTCGACACATTGACACACAGCCAGTGGGACCGGGTGTTGATTCCTCTTCGGAGGTTTGGAGGGAAAGAGAAGAATTCCCTCACTGAGGTATTTGAAGGATGACTTCCCATTTTCGGCAGCTTCGGATCCTGGTCTGGAAAAATTGGCTTGGTGTCAAAAGACAGCCGGTGAGTAAAAATAGAGTGACGGTGTGGGGCACGGGGCACTACTCCAGGCAATCCTAAAATATGAAGTTAATGAGAAGTAAAGAGAGAAGAGTTTAAGGGCACTTGCCAAAGCAGGAAATAAGATATTTAGGATTCATCCCTCCATCTGTCTTTTAACTAATGGGGCAAGCCTTAACATGCTTCAAAGCAGCCTTTTGATTTCAGTAAATTAAGAGTAAACCAGGACATGCCGTAGGCAAAGAAAAGGATGTGCCTTGTTACTGGTTGAATTGAAACTAGTGTTGAGTTCTGCGTTTAGGCCAGAGTATTTTCAGAATTTTCTTAAATTCAGTTTAAAAATGATGAATGAAAGCAAGGTATCATTTGAAAGGAACAATAAATGAAAAAGAAACGTACTGGAAAACCAAAAGCAATAGAAAGCTTGGTTGAAAAGTAAGCTAGAAAGCAGAAATAGTGTGAAGGCTGTTGGTATAGAAAAACTTCTAAGAAATTTTAACATCTAAAAATCACTTATTGGAAATGCCACACAAGAGTGTATTTATGGCCATGATAGAAGAGTGTGATTGAATCATCTAACTTTACTGCCGCAGTCTGTGTTTTCTTTGCTCATTGCAACATCTTTTTTGTGCTCTTACACTAATACTTGCTTTTTAAATTACAATGCCAGCTGTTATCCACAGTAGACAGAATTCAGGGAGACTGAGAAAGAAGTTTCTGTGGATTTCCATATGCTTAGGACAATGTTTAAAAAAGCATAAAAGCCCAAAAAGGCATTCATAGACTTCATTTTGATGTGATAATTCCAAGATTTAAATGAGTAATGTAAATATTATGCAAATGATATGCATTACAGAAACCAACTTTTATCTATGCACCTTATCCCACTCCAGGCTTACCTGCAATGTCAGATGCCTTGCTTGAATGTTCTGATACATGTACTCATGGAGGAAAGTAGGTAGTCATTTAGCTTTGTGAATTTGGTGGTATCACATAATTGCATGGGTGTGAAGTGTGGACAGAAAACTATAAAATCATTATAATACTGTGTTTTAGTGGCAAAAAGACAAAAGACAGAAAATCCCCTTGAATATCACACAGTTCATTCTGTGTGGCATTCAGTAGGAAAGAGCTCTGGGTTTGTGACATTGGCCAGAGGATGAAGGCTGGGTTTTTCCCATGATGTATGTGGCACATGACAATTTCTCCAAGTACTAATTTGCCCATGTATAAAATGGGCGTGTGTTCTATTGTCTCTAGCCTTAGTGCTGTAAGAACCAAATGTACTCATGTATTTCAAAGTAATTTATAAATGGAGAAAAACTCAGTTAAATAGATTATTGAGGGTTTGGGGGCAATATGTGTATCATATTTTTAAATTCAGATCAATGGCAAGAAGGAATGCAGGATAAGAGAGTGTGAAAGAGAAGAAATTTATCTACAGTAAAATTTTTTTTTTTGACAGGCAGAGTGGACAGTGAGAGAGAGAGAGAGAGAGAGAGAGAGAGAAAGGTCTTCCTTTGCCATTGGTTCACCCTCCAATGGCCGCTGCGGCCGGCGCGCTGCGGCCGGCGCACCGCGCTGATCCGATGGCAGGAGCCAGGTGCTTATCCTGGTCTCCCATTGGGTGCAGGGCCCAAGCACTTGGGCCATCCTCCACTGCACTCCCTGGCCACAGCAGAGAGCTGGCCTGGAAGAGGGGCAACCAGCACAGAATCCGGCGCCCCGACCAGGACTAGAACCCGGTGTGCCGGCCCTGCAAGGCGGAGGATTAGCCTAGTGAGCCGCGGCGCCGGCCTACAGTAAAGTTCCTAAATGATGCAAATTCAACATGTAAAAGCAAATCATGGAAGAACTATAAACTGGTATCTGTTACTGGCAGTAACCTGAATGCTGAGCCTGGATGCTTTCCATACAATGGTATTTTAGATAAGAAATTACCCAAATACTCCCCCAATTTCTCATGAATAAATTTTTGTCATTGAAAAAAATTCACATTTGGGAATTTTATTGACCAGCTCCTTCCTCATCTGTAAAATAAATTTAAAATTTACAGTCTGTGTAAGAACTAGACATGGTCAGGCCAGCGTTGTGGCTCACTTGGTTAATCCTCCACCTGCGGTGCTGTCATCCCATATGGGTGCCGGGTTCTAGTCCTGGCTGCTCCTCTTCCAGTCCAGCTCTCTGCTGTGGCCCGGGAGGGCAGTGGAGGATGGCCCAAGTGTTTGGGCCCCTGCACCCACGTGGGAAACCAGGAGGAAGCACCTGGCTCCTGACTTCGGATTGGTGCAGCGCTGGCTATAGCAGCCATTTGGGGAGTGAACCAACAGAAGGAAGACCTTTCTCTCTCTTTGTCTCTGTCTCTCTCTCACTATCTAACTCTATCTGTCAAATAAATAAATAAACAAAAGAATTAGACATGGTCACCCATCAAGCAACCCCCTTTTAATGCAAGTAATCTTATCTCTCTATTTATAAACATTTTGAAAATTGAACTTTAAAAATATATTTTTGGACCTAGGAAAATAGAAATCAAGTTGTATGACCCTGGAGATGAATAATCCTTCCTGAAAGCTTGTAACAAGTAGCAGCATCACTATCATGGCAACCTTACCTAATTTTAAAAAGAGATTCTGTTACAAAGCAAGATAGTGGGAAGACTAATCTGTGGGGGAAGGAGTTAGGAGTCTGTGAATGGACAAAAAAAAAATATCACATCCGGGGGAGAAAAAGAAAAAGAAAGAAGCCTTAGACCCATTAAGAGAGACTGGGGATTAGGCTGGCGCCGCGGCTCACTAGGCTAATCCACCTAGCGGCGCCGGCATACCAGGTTCTAGTCCTGGTGGGGGCGCTGGATTCTGTCCCAGTTGCCCCTCTTCCAGGCCAGCTCTCTGCTGTGGCTCGGGAAGGCAGTGGAGGATGGCCCAAGTGCTTGGGCCCTGCACCCCTTGGGAGACCAGGATAAGCACCTGGCTCCTGGCTTCTGATTGGGGCGGTGCGCCGGCCGCAGCGCGCCAGCTGTGGTGGCCATTGGAGGGTGAACCAACGGCAAAAGAAGACCTTTCTTTCTGTCTCTCTCTCTCTCACTGTCCACTCTGCCTGTAAAAAAAAAAAGAAAGTATATATCTTTATTAGTAAAGGACATCCTAGAATTGGTGTAGTTCAGACATCCACATCCCAAAGAGTTCTTGGGTTCCATTCCTGATTCCAGCTACAGATTCCAGTGAATGAGGACACTGGCTCAAAGTCAGATTTCCCCAGTCACAGGTGGATTCTTTCCACTATCTGCCTACTCTTTACTGCTCCTGAGTTGTGTTTCTTTTCTCAGAACTCTCTGGATGCCACTCAATGTTCAGGCCACCAAAGAAGAAACCATATGTGCAAAGGGGGTCTTAGATTTGCCTTTTTGGAAACATATTTGATAATAGAAATTAGTATTTACATTGGAAAAATGAATACTAATGGAGAGTGAAATAACACATGAAGAACCAACAGAAAGATTAGGTAATTGAGAAAATCAATAAGACACAGTTGCTACCCTACTGGGCTTACAATATAACTCTACAAATAATAGGAAAAAAGTGATGATACTTTCTGGAGGAGAGGATTAAAAACATGGAGGCTCACCTAATGAGATACTGGCTAATGACAGGAATCAGTCCTTGTTCAGCAGAGACCTCAGGCTGAAAAATTAATACAAGGAGAGAATTTATTGTTCTTTAAGAAGATGGGTCCCAATAGACATATCAAGGAGTGATTTCAGGTCTCTATGGACGTGGACTGTAATCCCAGACTTCTGATTTGATGAAGACATTAACATTAGTTAACTAAGAAATTAGCATCAACTGTTTATTTCTGTTGAAACTGTTTAGCTAGGCACTCATACTTGAGTTCAGTTGATGACAAAATCAGATTTTCTATTATAGACATTGCCACAGCTTTGACCTTGTAAATATTTTATTGGTTGACTGATATGAGCGGCAGAGAGACACAGATACACACATACACACACATAGAAGAGGGAGAGAGAATTCCATCCGTTGGTTTACTTTGAATGTCTGGGCTGGGGTCAGAATCAGGAGCCTGGAGCTCAATCCCATTCTCTATGTGGGAGAAACTCAATCACTTGATATGTCACCACTACTTTCTGGGTCTGCTAAAGCAAGAAGCTGGAATCAGGAACTAGAGCTGGATATCAAACTCAGGTACTCTGATGTGGGGTACAAGTGTCTTAACTACCTGGACATCTGCCAGCTTTGACTGACATTTTGGATCGAGCTTGAAAATTCTTTCCCCAGTTTCTTCCTTCTCATACAACTTCCTTTCACAGTGACTAGACAAAGAGGAAGCTTTAGCTTAAGGATTTTGGAGCAGTGTGATCTATGCATTAAAATAATGTATATGTTAAAATAATTTGGGATTAAATCCTAATCCTAATTTCATTCTAAACCAGATAAAAATAAAGTAGGTCCTGCATAATTCACTCAACTATGTGATCACATTTTCCAACTTCTTTTAGCTCTTCTGGTTCCGGACAATTTACTTCTATAATCTCTTTTAAATGCACAAAAGTGCTAGTATTAACTGTTGATTATGATTCCTGACACATAATAGAAGTATTTTATTTTATTTTATTTTTTAAAGATTTATTTGAAAGACAGAGTTACAGAGAGAGGTAGAGACACAGAGAGAAGTCTTCCACCCGCTGGTTCACTGCCAGATGGCTGCAACAGCTGGAGTTGTGCTTATCCAAAGCCAGGAGCCAGGAGCTTCTTCTGGGTCTCCCACATTGGTGCAGGGGCCCAAGGACTTGGGCCATCTCCTACTGCTATCCCAGGCCATAGCAGAGAGCTGGATCAGAAGAGGAACAGCTGGACTCAAACTAGTGCCCATGTAGGATGCTGGTGCTTCAGACCAGGGCTTTAATCAACTGTGCCAAGTGCTGGCCCCATAAATGAAATGAGTATTTTATTAATTTAGTCGATCAATAACAACAAATGAGG